TAGAACTCATCAAGATATACAACTTTTATTTTGCTTATTTGTTCATCCAACAAAGTTGTAGTAACATTCGTCGCAAATCTTACGTATCTCTCATATAGTTTCATAAACTATAAGCGGGATATGTAAGATTTGTGAACAATATTACTACCACTATGACAGATGAACAAATGACCAAAATAAAAGTCACAGATCTTGAAAAGTTATACAACTTTGTAGTTGACAAATTTTTGATTTGAAATCATCTTGTCAAGGAAAACTACGTTTGAATGTCTCAAATTTGAAATTTGAATTTTTCAAACAACCTCGGATCTAGAAACTACCAAAATGAAAATTGTAGATCTCGAAAAGTTATGAAACTTTGTAGTTGACAACATTTTGATTTGAAATCATCAGGAAAACTACGTTTGAATTTCTCAAATTTGAAATTCAAATTTTGTAAACGATCTCGCATGGAGAAATTATTAAGATAAAAGTTGTAGATCTCGAAAAGTTATGAAACTTTGTAGTTGACAACTTTTTCATTTGAATTCGTTTAGGACCTCAAAAAATCAATTTAAACTCGGTTTAGGATAATATGTGGGGAACTAAAATCCAATATAGACATGAGTGTGAGGTGCAGTGGTAGAGGAGAATACGCGCGAGAGGGAGGTCGCAGGTTCGAATCCCTACAGCCGCAAAGCGCGCGATTTTTGCGAGAAAAATGCCGCGACTTGCAATTTCTGACCTGTTGGGGCCTCCCCGGATTAAAGAAATCCTTTTTTTTTGGTCCGAAATCACGTTTTCTGAAAAAAATTGATTTGTAGGGGCGGTAGAACCGTCCCTATAAATGCCATTTGTAGGGGCGGCTGGCCAACAGCCCCTAAAAATCCGTGTTTTGTAGACACGGTGTGGTAGGGGTGGCCGGCCAAACCGCCCCTACAAACCTCTCTGAGACGCCCCTACTAATCTTGTCCCACAAATCAAGTACACGTACACCCCCTCTAATTTACTCTAGATGCCCAATTGCCTCTCCTCATCTGCCTCTCACCTGTTCTAGGAGCAAATGTAAAGTTGCAGCTGGACTATGTAACTATAATAGCCAAAGTTGCAGTTATAGACTATGTATCAAAGTTCTATCAAAGTTGCAGTTGTGATACTAGTATTCAATCATGCTACAAATATATAGAGCGGGCTCGATGGGTTCTGCAAGAGGCCCCAGTTTGCACATGAAGAGTGAATGAATACTTCCATTGTCACTTACACAACATACACAACCGTGTATATATAGCATTTCATGTTTTGCAAATACACAACTGAATGCAAAGCCAGCTCCACAACACAGGGTAGTATGCAGAAGAGAGGTGCCTCAAGTTCAAAAGAATCCCTCCACCATCATTATGCCTTAGGAACATGAAGCAACAGGGAAATGCCAACATGGTTCTCTTGTGGAGAAGGTGAGGCAGCCACGTGTGCATACGGTTCATTCGAAGTTCAGAAACTTCAGGTGCTGGCATGCCACGTTGACTGGGCATACCCTGTACGTGACCATCGGTATGCCATTGTGTGATTCTCCGGCCACACGGCAAAAACTGAAGACCAGCATTGACTCTGAAACCTTCTTGGCCTGACTGCCATGCGGATCCGTCCCTTAGTGAGCAATTGAATGAATCATGTCACGTATACATTAAAATAATACGTTTTTGCAGGACGTATCGTTCAAAGTCGTGTATTGGCAAGCTTCCTGCTAGAAGTCCGAACTAGGAGAATGCTAAACCACATACGTAATTGGTGTTTAACACTAACTAGATAAATATTTTATTTCACGAGACTTTGATGATCAGACAATAAATCACATCATGCTCTTGCATTGTGCGCAAGGATCAGACGGTGGACCACATGAGTATGTGAAAATAATTTATAATGTTTCAATTCCATCTTGCTGGCCCAAAATTACTAAAAAAATGACAAAAATGTCATCGAACAAGTGTCATGGTCAAGCAATCCAAGGAGGCTCACAATGTTTTGTATGCCTGTTTTATGTTTTAAAACAAGTTGCACAATGAGCATATTATCGGGTTCGGATGGCTTGACTGCAAGCATGTTTCAACGCTTCGTGTGGTCACTATACTTTTTTCGTTGGACAATCACAACACCGGTCCGTAGTTCCACACCATGTGCAGCACTACCAGGACAAAGAACACAGAACCAAACTATTAGGCTTATTGTATAGCTAGCGTATTGTCTATTTATAGCTAGCGTATTGTATGCACTGTACTTGTACATGGCTATATATATATATATGTGTGTGAGTGTGTGTGAAGGCACCCCCCACAATGGGTGTGTCATGATTCTCCCAAACCTCTTCTATCTTTCTACGCGGTATCAGACGCCAAGTTTAGATCTCTTCCTGCCTCCCCTCTCATTACATGCAACACCGTTCAGTCGCGCCACCGCTCTAAGGTCCCGCGTCCACCTTCTCCGGCCTTGTGCTTCCCCTTGCCTCTCCCCATCCCGTGAGGCCCCTCTGCACCGCCGGCCCTCCACCTCCGTTCCTCCCTCTGCCGTGGATGCCGGCCCCTGCGCACCCGTCCGCCAGGACCGAGCTCTGACTGCTCCCACTTCGCGCGCGCCCGTAATCCTTCCGTGCCCGTGCGTGTCTCCAGCTGCTTCACTTCCCCGCGAACCATGCACTCATATGACCCATTCTGAGCCTGCGCGTATCTCCCGCGCCTTCGCTTCCCGGCACGTCGTGCGTCCACTCCCCCTACGCTTGCAAGCCGGGCTACCGATCGCACTGCCACCCTCCGCGACGCGTGCAGCGCCAACCCCCAGCGCTGCCCGCCTCCCGCTCCCCTCTGCGAGAGCCCCTCGATCCGAGGCGATGCGTCATGCCGGGCACCCTCTCATCCCCGGTCCAACTCCGCTGCACGCACACTACCACCCACGCGCGCACAGCTTCCGCACCACTACTGGAAACTCGAATTGTTCTGTGGGTGAAAATTTTTTCTGTGCGTTTTTTTGGCACGCACAGAAAAATTACGATTTTTCTGTCGGTTTCAAAATATCCCGACAGAAAAATACGAAAACCCACAGAATAATTGTATGATTTTTCTGTGCGTGACAATACACACACGGAAAAAATCAACACTCACAGAAAAACACAATTTATTCTGTCGGTGCTTTAAAACGCACAGAAAAAATATATGCACGCACAGAAAAATATTCACGCGATAAATAAAAAAACAAGTCCTAACCCTAACCCGCCGGCCGCCGCACGCACGCGCTCGCGCCTGCTCGGCCCTCCTCTCCCTGCCCCCGCTCCCTCTCACTGCCTCCCGCCGGCGGCCGGCCCCGGCCCCTCCCCTCCTCTCCTCCCGCCGGCGGCCGGCCCCCCCCTCCTTGCCCCTCGCCACCCCGGATCCGCCACAATGCTCCGGCCCCTCCCATCCTCTCCTCCCTTGGCCGACCCCTCCCTCCTCTCCTCCAGCCGGACGGCCGGCCCCGGCCCCTCCCCTCCTTGCCCCGCGCCGCCCCGGATCCGCCGCGCCTCCCCCAAAAGCCCAAAACGCGCTCCTCTCGAGAAGCACCACAGTGGAGAGAAGCCGCCGGCCGCTGAGGACCCCGTCGCGTGCCTTTCTTCCTCTACGAGCCATGCTGAACGTAATATTTGAGTACTAGGGTTCGTATCGTACGCCGAGATCTTTTCTTTTGTTCTTTTATTCTCCGATCGCGCCTACTTTAGTGGATATTAGGGTCCATCGCCCTGTTTATATTGTGTCTCTGTCTCGTCGTCTGCTAGTTTGTGCTGCTAATCGGGGATGTTGGATCCAATGTAGAAAGAGTGAGAGGTTCGATCAACCTGTTCATCCCCTAGGGTTCGTAGATGACCTTTTGTGCGATTTTGCGTTCACCTTGTTTGTCTCGGTCTGTTGCTTGGGGAAAGGTTTTGGTTGTTTCCTGGGGGAGGCTGGTTGGTTCAGGTTAAGACGACGACTTGTTTGCCACTGTTTTTCAGTAGTATGTATTGCTGCTTCCTTCTGTAAATTTCGTTGATTGGTGTAATTCAGTCTCGTAATTCCATGAATTTAGGGATGGGTGATTTTTAGCTTATGTGGCCATTGCAGCAGTGGCACATGGTAAATCAGAATGCTCAGTGACAGACAAGGTCGAGGGAGACAAGTTTAGTTTGTAAGGTTTTCAGCTTTTCATGAACTGTAGAAGGTTTCCTATCAAACAAGATAAACATGATGCTGTGATAGTGTGATTACATTGTGCTTGTGTAGGCTTAACATTACATTTACTCCAATGCACCTAGTCAACAACTTTGGTTACATTCTCCTCATGATATTGTATTCTTTGATGATATAAATGCAATTGATGTTATAGTTGGATGTTAGCACTGCCAATGGCCTTGTTCCCTTAGAAGAAATCTCCTATGCGAATTCCAATTCATGTCTTGACTCTTGGACAGTTGCTGGATTGTCACACTACCCCCAATTTAGATCCTTTTATTATGTCTAAATATTCACACTTTATTTTTTGGCATACTGACATGTTGCCTATGCGTTAATGCAACATTTTAATGGCCCTGTTCATTTTCTTGGTTGTGGAGGACCGCTAGGTAGCCTTGGAACACAAGTGCACTATAGTAGCATTGTTATATATTTTTAGTTTTCCAGAACTATCAACATTGACCGAATAATATTTACATTATTTTCCCATCTGTAGTCCGTAGACTGTCAACAAGATTTCATTACTTGTTTTGCAACAAGGTAGCCCTTCCAGCATTTTAAGAGAAAGTGCTAATTTACCTTGGTACTTTCTTAAAACCTTCTGTTGCTCTCTGAAGTTCGATCAAACAGTGCTTGAATCGCACGTGGTATGACACCTAGATCTGTAGGCTTGCTGAAAGTGAACAGTGCTTGAATCGCACGTGGTATGAGCATACTGAAAGTGAAAAGAAACCTTCTGTTGCTCTCTGAATTTCTGTTCCTTAACCGCTTCTCTGTCTTTTATCACATATGACAGTGAAACAAGTACTGAACAAGGTAATGCTCTTGTTCTTTCAATATTGGACATCCCTATTTTTTTATCATTTGGCATAAATAGCATAGCGATTGATGTTTCAGATGATGAATCTGATGAGGAGGTTCCACAGGCTATTCCATTATACCCTAACACAGATGGTATATCCTTGTTCTACAAAGAAATTTTGTTTTTATGAGTTAAGATTGCATTTCTTCTCTCTGCATTATGACTGCACACATATACATGTTTAGCACATTTATCCACTATCCTCATTGTATATGTCACATAATCCGCTAAATTAGATAATATGAATCATGACTGAGATATCATTTCCTCCATGTTTCAGTTTTTTCTCTCATTTGTCTAGATTGTTTTATTGTGATACCAGTATAAAGAATTGAGTGAGCAGCCAAAGTATAAGTCATTTCCCAATCAGTGGAATTGTCCGGCACCTTAGCATGCACTTCCCATGAATTATCTTGATCTGCTGGCTTTGCAGCAGCTCCAACTCCACTACCCCAGCCTCCCGGTCACGGAATCATTCGCAGCACTAGCATTTTGTTCCCAACTTGAGTTCATTGTTGTGCCATTTTCCCATGAGCTGCCTTTCTGAATATTTTGCTCTCCAACTTAAGTATTATACAACACTTGTTTATGTTATCTCTGAATTGCAGGTTCAGGTTCCAGTTACCTTTTATGCCCTTCTTGATCATGAATGGAAAGAGGGAATGAGCGAGGGAAGAGGCAGAGGTATGTCGCCAAGTTCCTTCTTACTTAGATCCTGGAATTGAGATACTCTCTAGTGTAGTAGTATGACTGAAGGTTATTATAATTGTGTAAAGCGAATAGAGTACAACTAGCCTCAATGTTCCTAATATGTTTCTATTGTTCATATATACAGAAATTTGTGGTGAAGGTAGTTTCCCTTACTATGGCCCGTGATGGTGCTAGTGGAGGGGTCATGGATTGTCTTATGTAGCAATCACCTGAACTAGTTGGGTGTCATGGATTGTCTTATGTTGGTTTTGGCACTTATATCTAGCATGATGCTTTTGATACCTTTCGGAGTGAAACTCAATCAGTTGTAACTGAAAATCGTAACTTTTGATCATTTAACTTCTTGTGTGGTGCTGTGCATTCTTCTGTCAATTAATAAAATGGATTGTAGTTTCAAAAAAAAATGATTGTGTTCACTTGGCTTAAACCTTTTTTAGTTCAAAACAAACTCAATTTTGTTGCACTGTAGATAAATGCCGATGGCGTGAAGAGGAACTTTTATCCTGGACAAGCTACCCCTATGGCACGACGAGCTGGAGCCCCATAACTCTTTGCTTGATATTCTTGCTGCTGGGAACCCTGATCCCATGGTGCAGTGAATTTGCCCTCCACTTCCTTTGTGAACGTTTCACTGGTTGAACAAGAAAAAATAGTTTGGTTTCTTTTTCGATATCCATATTTGTGAATTCATTGTAGTATTCATGTTGAACATATAGATGACCAGACATCATATCTGTATATATGATATATGTGCTGATAGATCAGACTGATTCTATTTTTGACATAAGTGTTGACTCCATTCATGATGAACTACTGATTTGTGTATTATTTGAATGAAACATTGTTGGTCATGCACAGAAATTACTATATGGAAAATATATATTTTAATATGTTGTTGCTACTGTTTTAAAATAATTTTTTTTGTGTGTTTAACTCTTTTTTCCTGTGAGGCTGGCTACACAGAAATATTTTTTTTAATATGGGCGAAATGAATTTTTCTGTGAGTTCACCTAGACCGACAGAAAAAATATGTGTTTTTCTGTGCGTTTATTTCTTTTTTCTGTGTGGATTAACACACAGAAAAATTGGTTTTAATCTGGGTGAACACAATTTTTCTGTGCGTGTGAGACCCATAGAAAATTTGTTTCTGACGGTGAAGCCACAGAAAAATTCGATTTTTCTGTCATTATATTTCTGTGGGTATTTTTTTGAGGATACACTGTCAGAAAAATATTTTTCTGATGGTATTCGGATTTTTCTGTGTGTTTTCGCACACACAAAAAAAACGAGATTCCAGTAGTGCACCCCATCCCCTTTTTTCCCAGCCAGCGGCCACGGCAACTCGCCCACTGCTACCACCTTCCACTGTCGCCACGACAACCTCCTCTACGACCAATGCCCTCACCGGTGCCCTCACCAACTCCTCCTCCGAATCAGCCTCGGGCCAGTGTTCAACATCCCGCCGTATGCCACCATCTCCATCCAGTCCGACGTGCCAATCACCCTCGAGCTGAAGCGCCCTAACTACACTCACTGGTCGGCCTTCTTCCCCTCCTTGTGCGACAAATTCGGGCTTCACTCGCACATTGACGCATAGTGGCGTTGTGTCCTGATGACCCGGCATGGGTGGCGATCGATTCCTACGTCCACAACTGGCTCATGACCACTGTCGAGGATGGTCTCCTTGACCTCGCCGAGCCCGATCCGAACACTCGCCCGACTTTGGGACGGCAATCACGGGCCTCTTCTAGGCGAACAAGACCTCCCGCGGCGTATTCCTCAACCACGAGTTCCACTCTATGACTCAGGGCAATCTCTCCATTGACGCGTACTGCGAGAAGATGAAGGCCACCACCAACGCCGTTAGTGACATTGGTCATACCATCATCGACTCACAACTCATCCCCAACCTCATGCGCGGCCTCAACCCTCACTTCTCCAACACCGCCAACAACATCACCGATTCCAACCCGCTACCCAACTTCACCACGGCACGTGAGAAGCTGGTGCTCAAGGAACTCCGCCTCGCCAACGAAGGGCAGGTTACAACGCAGATGGCCCTCTATCCGGGGTCACCCTCCTGTTGCTCAAATTTTGTTGCTCGACCACCTCTAGCAGTGGCAACGGTCATAGCGGTGGCGGTTACTGCCTCTCTGCAAGCACCATTCGTGACCCTATCAACAAGCGCAAGGGTCGTAGTGGTGGCGGTGTCGGTCCTTAACACGGCGGCGGCCGCGGCGCCACTCCACCTGCTGGTCCTTGGGTCTGCTTCAAACCTTGGGGAAGCCAGCAGCCACAATGACATCCCCTACGCCCAATTTGGCATGGCGTGCCCCGGCTTCGTCGGCACCCACCCGCATGCACACACTGCCTTGGCGCCAAAGAAGATGCCGACGTGACCACCCTTCCACCTCTTTGCTTCCTAGTAGGGCACCATTGCGTGGAATCAGTGGCATCATCGCTGTCATGAACCGGTGGCCTCCAAGACTCCAACCCTCGGTTCTCGACATCGGGCGCCCTTCGCTCATATGTCGACATCGGATGGTATACTTCCTCCCGTCTCGCCTCATTCGACTCCTTCATCACCGCTCCATTAACGGTAGCACCATTCCCATTTCCCATCGTGGCACATCCACCTTGTCGGCAGCTGACACACCACCTTTCATCGTAATAATGTTCTTATTGCTCCTGCCCTTGTGTGGAATCTTCTCTCTATTCGCCAATTTACTCGTGATTATTCCAGTTCTATCGAACTTGACGCTTTGGGTTTTTCTATTAAGGACCGGCAGTCGGGCGCGTGATTCTTCACAATGATAGTAGTAGGGACCTCTACACCATATCTTTGTCACCACCCCACAACTCACTACTAACTTCTGACCCTTATGCCACGCTTTTTTGCTGCAACGGCAAGATTTAGTTGCAATAAGGGTTGTTATCGCAACCATTTGCACTTTCGGTTGCGATAGGCGGAATTTTTGCCACGCAAATTATTTCGTGGCCGTGAGTGCGACGATCGTTGCAATAAGTAATTGCTATCACAACCAATGGTAAACCGGTTGCAATAAGTGGTCACTGTTGCCATGATTTGATTTGCATTGCGGGTAGTTTTATTGGCATTGCAATACTGCAACTCTTTAGTTGATGGTTGCAAAAGCGCGTCTATGTTGCAACGAATATGATTCGTTGTATGTAATAGTCGCTTGCGTTGCAAAAGAGCTGTACATATAGCAACGAAAAAATAAATCGTTGCAATCACTAAGGTTCGGGAGCACTACACTTTTAGGAAAAAAGAAAAGAAAAGAAAAGATGTGTAACCAGGTTTTGAACCTAAGACCTTTAACTCTAAAGGAAAGCTACTAACCACCACACCATAATTGTGTTTTTGTCATTAGTAGCCACAGAAGCTTATACAAATTAAAACACATCTATGTTGCAATGATTATGTTTTGTTGTATGTAATAGTCTCTTGCGTTGCAAAAAATTGTACATATAGCAACGAAAGACTAAATCGTTGCAATACCTAAGGTTCTCGAGCACAATGGTTAAGTAAAAAAATTAAATAAAAAGTCACCATCAGGATCTGAACCTGGGACCTCAGAGTTCAATCGATATGTTCTTACCAATACACCATATATGTGTTTGTGTCATTAGTAGTAACAGGAACATATACAAAATAATGTAGAACCCGTTTAGGTATTGAAACAGGATCAGATCTGGCATAGTGGTGTACGTACATGTGCACCATCGACTTCCCTATAGGCATCGTCACTTCCTCTTTCCTAGGCGTCGTCGCAGCCGCCTCTTTCCCCAGGCATCGTCGCGGCCTCCCTGCAGCCGCTGGTGTCCCTGTTGCCGGTGCCGCTAGATCGCCCTGCCATCACCTCTCTTCACACAGACATGATTTCAGTATCTGAACCAAACAATCCTAGTCTGCTTGACTAGGCAATTTTCTACTCAATAACAGGCAGCTCACAGGCAGGTGAAATATCCAGGTAACTACTCTAGGGTAGCATCCAAACAGGCCCAAAAACTCATGCGGGCTGCTAGTGCACAGCACGCCTCCACGCCCATGTTCAAAGCATATTATTATATACAAACCCATAAAATCTTCAAAAACACAAACTCACAACATCAGTACTGTCTCGTTACTTGAAAACATCTGACGGCACATTATCAACACAGTAATTATATGGAGACGATGGGAGGAATTGCTCTTTGTACTTGATGCATCCATCCATCCACTGACCACTGATCAGTTCCAGAACACACCATAGACTTAGGAAACTGAACACAAGTTATGCACACCATAGACATTAATTGCATATAGTGGTTCCCATCATCATGGCACTTGCCAAATATACATTATTATTTCTTCCAAACTAACATACCAGGTGTCGCCAGATGTTGCGACAAACTACTTACTAAGTCTGAGTTATATTCCCATCAGAGCAACCAATAAACTAATACGACATAGTTGTAGTGGTTGCAGACATACCAACACACTACCTACCAGCATCAGCATGCACTACTTGCATTTATTTATACTACACCAAAAGAGAACTACATATCAGCATGTACTTGAGTTCCTCAGCTTGTACTTCTTGTCCATTTGAGCTTGTCCATGGCTTCAGGATGATGATGTTCTTCGAAGTCAGAAAGGTCATAACTGTCATCAGTGTACAAAGCAAATGACCCAGACTTGTCTTCCTCAACACTGTCATCGGGAACCTTCAATTAAAAAAATTACGGTTACTACTGAACAAAGCACATGGAAACAATAAAACATAGTTGTGTATGCTGTCATGACTAAATTGAGACTGAAACAGGACTCTCATTTTCCTTTCATGACAGTATGTTTGGTGAAGGTGTACGAGCAAGCCAATAGAACTTATACAACCCCAGTACAGTAACCAAGTTCTACAGCTGTTATCCGGTTAGTCAAAACCTGCTATCAAAGTATCTGAATTTTTAAGGCAGCAGCAGTACAGTTGCTTACAAAAAGCATAACTAGAGATCTAGACAACGAAAAATTATATTCTTTAACGATACGGAAAGCCCATGAAATTCTCTACATCTTTCTAGTTATTTCTACAATCAGATGTTGCAGTTATCATGGTCGAAAATCACAAAGGGCTACTGCTGTGCAGAGCAAGGTCAAAACCTGACAGGCTACATCTAAAATTCATAATTCCCAATTCTCCAGGGCTAAAATCATGAACTTTCGTGACGACAAACATCTCTAAACCCTCTACAACTTTGGTATTATCAAGTATCACAGAAAAGGTAATTTGCTACACGAAATAATTCACCCAATCAGAACTGCACAAACGTATGATAAATGTAGAATCATCCAGCTCCCCTCTATTTTAATCGGCTAGACCACCAAAGTTTAGCCCTGAACAAAAATAAATATATCTAGTATGAGCACCAGTATGAATGTATAATGCCAACACGACTTGCATGTGGTTCCTTTCCGAACTACAAACTACAAATGATTTTGGATTTAGTATAATTGATTTCAACTTATATAATATCAATGCGGATACAGATGCATAAAGCTTTAATAGAAAACTTATAGCTACAAACAATCATTGAGATCTAACGACATAGCAAATCATATCTATCAAATAGAAAATTGC